GGCAAGCCGGAGGGGGTTGAGGGGGTGGAAAATAGGGTGGAGAAGGTTGAGACTTAAGAAAGAGTTTTGAAAAATATTTTTTTATTATTTTGGTAGGGAAGTCATTTTCTTCCGATTGGTAAAAAATGAGAAAGAACTTTTTTTCCAAAATATTTAAGCAACCAAATATAAGAAAACTAGAATATATTTTCCATACCAAATACACCCTTAATGTACAATGAGTTTGAAAAATTGACAACATTTAAATTTGTTAACTTGCAGAATGTTTTAATCAGCGATTTGCAATTAACTAACTAGAATTACAAAGATAAACTTAAAGAATGCCTCCTTAATTAATTGCAGCCAACCAAAATAATTTATAAAATGTCAATTTGGGCGTCTTAATTAACTTTTAAAATTATTATCTGGACCAAGCTTGCATGTGTCATCAGCTTGATTGTTATATGGAAAATAGGTAAAGCTGTCTGATGAACCAAATGGATGACAAAGCAAAAATACAGCAAATATGACCTGTTCAAAGTTCAATATCCGTGTCAATAATAGTTAACATCAAGATTAGAGAAATGGCTTAAAAATAAAATTTTAGAACTCGTGATTCCAATGTCTAATTACTCTAATATCATCTTCAACTTCTCCTCTTTTAGTTAAATAAATCTCAAAGCCTTGTCAAAAATCATATGGCCGTCTTCGCCTCAATGTCTGACGTTAGATTTTAATAAGAGATTTATATAATTTCATCTAAATAGAAGAATACATCAATAAAGTGTATATATCAATTTATTTGCATAAATTGTTTTACCACGCATGCATGATTCAAGTAATGATATGATAGTGTAAAAGAAGGCATGTATTCGGGGTGTTGTACATCACTGATCATGATCTCAAATTAACATTTGAATAAAGCAATTAAATAAATAGCTCTTACAGATTATCTAACAAGAAAAAACTACTTCAATCAACAGTGATATTAGAGGTGGAGTCAGGATTTTAACTAAGGATCTTTACATAAATAGTCGGTTATATTTATTTTTCACTTTTTCTAATCATATATATATATATATATTATACATTGATTATACACAATTATACATATATAATACACAAATTATGCATATAATATATCTTCACAGGCTATTTTTAGTTTAAGCGGTTGGGTATGCGGCTATTTGGGTTAATACTTCTTTTAATAAAGCTTTATGAGTTCTGAATTTTATAATGACGACTTCAATGGCTAATAATTGAGTTCTAAATTTAATATGTATACTTATTTAATTAATTTCTTAGGAAAATGATATTGTACAATAACTCTAAAAATAATAGCCGAAAAAATATATATTTTTTGTATATATATACATTTTGTATGTTATATACAAGCATTATACAAATTTTATATACTTTCGGCTATTGAATATAAATAATTTCTGGCGCGGCTAAAAGTAATAATACCCCTAATTTCTTAACACAAATATATTATTTGAGTAAATATTATTGAGTTTAGCAACTCGTATCTGGAATTCTACCTGGGCCCTGAGTGCTAGAAGGCCGTGGCTATCTCCAGGAAATTTCATAGGTATAAACAATGCAAGCAGTGAAATGCGCAGCCTTAAGATTATTGTGAAATGCGAGGAAATTTTCCAAATATCTGCATACTAGTCAAACTGTCCTAAGAAATTAGTTAACACATGAAATAAAACTATATATAAAGTTTTGGCCAATGCAGCCACCACCAATAGGAGCCTTATATTCTGGTCAAGATGGGTCCTTTTCTTATTGTCTTAATCCCAAAAATCCATTTTCAGAGTAAGATGGTTCAACAAGGAACTATGACCAGAAATCTAATCATAAGGTAAACTTGGACTCATGGACTTTTCAAGGAGACTTAGAATTATTTAAATCTCCTTATTGTAACTCCTACTTTCTTGGTATATATCTTCCCCTATAAATACCCCTTTCAATCCGCACTCTTTTGCATCAAACATTCTAGCTATTCATTTCAATCTTTTGTATTCACTATTCTTTTAATTTATTGTACCACATTTTAACATACTTAGAAACACATACTTTACCAAGAAAGATGGAGAACTTTCCAATTATCAACTTGGAAAAGCTCAATGGTTCTGAAAGAGCTGACACCATGGAAATGATTAAAGATGCTTGTGAGAACTGGGGCTTCTTTGAGGTAATTAATTACAATTTGCATATATAAATAGAGTAGCTGGCCGAACTCAGCAGTTTTAGTTCAAATTTGTATTTGTCTTGAGAAATCGATTGAATATTAATTTAGAGTGTAGTAATTTAAAATGACTAGAATCCTGAATACAGAAGCTTCAAATCCTAACTTCGTCTCTGTATATAAAGATGTGCCTTGTACTCTAGCCAATATAGTAAGCTAGTAAAAAATCTTGCATTTTGATGTTTTTGTTTATTTATGTCATGATTATTGCAGTTAGTGAACCATGGGATTCCACATGAAGTAATGGATACAGTGGAGAAAATGACAAAGGGACATTACAAGAAGTGCATGGAACAGAGATTTAAAGAATTGGTGGCCGGCAAAGGTCTTGAAGCTGTGCAAGCTGAGGTTACTGATTTGGATTGGGAAAGCACTTTCTTCTTGCGCCATCTTCCTGTTTCTAACATTTCTGAAGTACCTGATCTCGATGATCAATACAGGTAAAACTTAAACTTCATATAGACATTTTATACCGTCATTGCATAAAATTTTTATACGTGGGGTTTTCCTCACATGTATGTAACTTCTCCAGCATGGTTATCCAACATCATCATCTGAAAGGGGGTTTTGGCGTAACTGGTAAAGTTGCTGCCATGTGACCAGGAGGTCATGGGTTCAAACCGTAAANATTATATAAAAGATTTAAATATTTTTATATAAATATGGATAACATCGTTACTTTTAAGATCAGAGTTTTCATTATCTGTTGCTATTGGTCTCTACTCTCTCCATAAATAAGCACAAACGTAACAGAAGCTATACACTAAAAAAGAACAAAAAATACTTTGTGACCAATGTTTTAAAAGGCGGAGGCGTGAGACGAGCAATTTTACCTTTTATGAGGTGAGGCGTAAGCCCTCAGCCATAAAGCATAAGCCTTGTGGATTTTTGAAATTTTTAATTTATAAATTAATAAAATTCTAACAGCCTCTTGCAGAAATGCAGGGTAAGACTACGTACAATAGACCTTGTGGTTCAGCCCTTCCTCGGACCATCCGCATAGCGGGAGCTTAGTGCATGGGCTGCCCTTTGAGTTGTCAAAGATCTCAAGCTTGTGAGGTTCTTCAGGAAAGGACAATTTTGATGTACTGAACATGCATCAGACATTACACCTTTATTATTCTTTTAATTCTTTTGGGCTGTTCCCCAAATGTATGTGGATTGAGACATGACAAAGAATAGAAGCATAAAAATTACTTATAAAGTTTCTTATTAATGTTTTCCCAAATGATCATATGCAGGGAAATCATGAGAGATTTTGCTAAAAGATTAGAAAAATTGGCAGAGGAGTTACTGGACTTGCTATGTGAAAATCTTGGACTTGAAAAGGGTTACCTAAAAAAGGTCTTTTATGGATCAAAAGGTCCCAATTTTGGAACTAAGGTTAGCAACTATCCACCATGCCCAAAACCAGATTTAATAAAAGGACTGCGCGCCCACACAGATGCTGGTGGCATAATCCTTCTCTTCCAAGATGACAAAGTGAGTGGCCTTCAACTCCTCAAAGACGGCCAATGGATCGATGTTCCTCCTATGCACCACTCTATTGTCGTTAACCTTGGCGACCAACTTGAGGTCTGTTCTTTTACACTGCAAGTATATATATATAAGTTAAATCTAGCTTGAAAATACTAAAAGAGTAGTTATTATTAATTGAAAAATCAGGTGATCACCAATGGAAAATACAAGAGTGTGATGCACAGAGTGATTACACAAACAGACGGAACTCGGATGTCACTAGCTTCGTTTTATAATCCAGGAAGTGATGCAGTAATATTTCCAGCACCAACTTTGGTTGAGAAAGAGGCAGAGGAAAGCAAAGCAATTTATCCAAAGTTTGTGTTTGATGATTATATGAAGTTATATGCTGGACTCAAGTTTCAAGCCAAAGAGCCAAGGTTTGAAGCCATGATCAAGGCCATGGAAACTGTGAAAAGTGATCCAGTTGCAACTGCTTAAATTCCAATTCGAGAGGAAGGATGGAGTTTGAAAAGAAAATGATACATTTTAGAAGTATTTACAAATTAAACCTAGCTACTATATACATTATTTGCTCTTTGTTTTTTGTGTGGTGGAATCAAGCTATTCAAAAATATTGTGATCTGCTGCATATGTAGTAAAGATTGTATCTCAAATAAACTGCCTTTTAGGGAGATTATACAAATAATTTGCAAGTGTTACATTCCTTCTCATTGAATTTCACTTTATCTCACTTTCCTATATTAATTATTCAATTTTTGAACATAATGATATTGAGTATTGACTGAATTTGCCGACCAAATTGAGAAATTCACCATGAAGAAAGTAAATTCTCTGTAAGTTGAAAATACAAATTGAAGTATTGAACCATAGTAAAATTTTGTAAGTTTGAAGTTACTGTGAGACTCAAATAATGTAAAATTCTATATGGACGGTATGTTGGTTAAAATATGGAAAAGATCTGGTGGAATAAAAAAGGGTTTTCAGACCACACAAACACATAATCTTACTTTTCATGGAAGAAAAGAATAACGGCGACCTTTTTCTGCTACTTTATTTTTTGAACAAAGATAATTTAAAAAAAAGAAGAAAAGAAAATAAGGCCAAGGTACGCATCACTGCATATTAGATCGTTCCTTACCAAAAAAAAATGCATATTAGATCACTTCAAGTGGTGTACGGCAGATTCAAGTTAATATTATTATAATATTGTATACGGTCAAAATCGAGTTTGTCTTTCGTATAATTAGTCAAGATTGGAACATAATGGGCCGAGGGTCGAGCTCAAGTCAATGTCGAGCTCGAGTCAATATCGAGCTATGATGAGAAGTGGCATTATCGAGCTCAAGATCCAGACCGATCAATACCGAGCTCGAGTCAATATCGAGCTCGAAATCCAGAGACCGACCAATACCAAGACCGACCAAGATCGAGCTAAAGAACAAAGTGTCGTTGTAGCCGCACTAGGGGAGAGAATCTCAGCGGAAATTAAGGAAAAACTAATTAACTAATCTATCATAAGATCCTCACTATGTATTTTTAATTATATCCAAAGTAGGATTTCTCCACTATATGAATAGTGGCTATCATTTCTGTATGAGGACATTTCAACATTGAGACATCAATACACTCTCACATTTCAAAGATTATTGATATTTATGTAGAGATTATCCTTTTTAGGACTTTGGACATTGATTCATCTTGCTTGTTTATAAATCATTCTTTACTTAATTTGGTTTGTATTTCATTCCTTTTTTTACAGTCAATATTCGATATATTTCTACTTATTTTTTCGATTTGTACCAAGTTATACCACGTATCCTTATAATTACGTATAAATTCAACTCTTCCGTTTTTCGGGTAAACAATTGACGTCCATCGTAGGGCTAAGGATAATAGTGGTTATTTGCTACGAATCTCTGCAAAACACATTTTACACTTGCTCTTGGAAGTTTCTTTGATTTCAGGTTAAAAACGGCGAACTCTCAATCAATGGCCTACCTATTGACAACGAAGCTGGCTTTCAAGATGAGAACAACAGCCTGACGACTGGGGATGAAAGGCCACTCGTCGATCCCGTTGGAACTCAGGCAGCATATCCAATCGACGTTAATTCACATGTGGCCATCGTGGCGAACCAACGTTCCGACCCCGAAAATAGCATCCATGGTGGAACTCGACCTGCAGTTCGAAATACCCAAAATATTGGAGAAGACGGGATCGACCTGCGTATGATTTTCGAAATGTTACAAGCTCAACAAGTAGCAATAGCTCAGTTGCAGAGCCAAACCCAGGCACCGAGCAGGGCCGAGCCCGGTCCATCCCGAGAAATCACCCAAGAAATAGGGCCAGCTGTAGTAAGATCAAATGAACAAGAATCGGGGACTAATCCCGAAATTATTAAGATGTTAGAGGAACTGACAAAACGAATTGAGTCCGGAGAAAAGATGATTGAAGCAAACGACAAAAAAGTAGAAACTTATAACTCCAGGGTTGATCAGATCCTGGGGGCACCACCGGTATTGAAGGGCTTAGATTCCAAAAAAATCATACAAAAGCCTTTCCCCCCCGAGCGCGACTCCTAAACCGATCCCCAATAAGTTTCGCATGCCCGAAATTCCTAAATATAATGGTACGACCGACCCCAACGAACATGTCACCTCTTACACATGTGCCATTAAAGGGAATGATATAGAAGATGACGAGATTGAATCCGTACTATAGAAGAAGTTCGGAGAAACCTTGTCAAAGGGGGCAATAATATGGTATCATAATTTACCGCCTAACTCTATCGATTCTTTTGCTATGCTTGCACATTCTTTTGTAAAAGAACACGCCGGAGCCATAAAGGTCGAGACCAGGAAGTCGGACTTTTTCAAGGTAAAGAAAATAGATAACGAGATGCTAAGAGAGTTCGTATCTCGTTTTCAAACGGAACGAATGGATCTACCACCGGTCATGGACGATTGGGCTGTACAAGCTTTCACTCAAGGACGGAACGAACGAAGCTCGATGGCTTCACGACAATTGAAGCAAAATTTGGTCGAGTACCCGGCTATTACCTAGGCCGATGTGCACAATCAATATCAATCGAAGATCAGAGTTGAAGACAATCAATTGGGTTCTGGGTCCACTATTAAAAGGGACGTCGACCGAGAACCAAGGTCAAACAGGGACCGATATCAGCCGTATAACGGAGATCGTAGGGGTAGCGAACCTACACGCAACTTCGTACGAGGCAAAAGGAGAAGTGATCGAGGCCAAGGGTTTGGGGGCTGATGAAAAAGAATGGGTTTGACAGGCATATCATACCTAAGGAAGCACCACGGTTATCAGAATATAACTTCAACATCGATGCATTCGCTATCATGTCGGCTATCGGATGCGTCAAAGATACTAAGTGGCCTCGACCTCTGCAGTTTGATCTAGCCCAGAGGAATCCCAATCAAATGTGAAAATATCATGGCACCCATGGCCACAGAACCGAAGACTGCAGGCAGTTGAGAGAGGAGGTAGCACGTTTATTCAATGAAGGGCACCTTCGAGAATTTTTAAGTGACCGGGCCAAAAACCATTTCAAAAACAGAGATTTCAATAGACGAAACGAACAAGAAGAGCCACAACACATCATCCACATGATCATCGGAGGGATCGACGTCCCCCAGGGACCGGTTCTTAAATGCACTAAGATGTCTATTATAAGAGAAAAGCGATCTCGGACTCAGGATTACACACCTAAAGGAACCTTGTCCTTTAGTGATGAAAACGCGGAAGGAATCATGCAACCCCATAACGATGCACTGGTAATATCTGTACTTATGAATAAAACTCAAGTTAAACGTGTGTTAATTGATCCAGGTAGTTCGGCGAACATCATTCGATCAAGGGTCGTAGAGCAACTCTGTCTACAGGACCAGGTCGTACCCGCTACCTTGGTACTGAACGGATTTAATATGGCATGTGAAACTACTAAGGGAGAGATAATCTTGCCAGTAAACATAGTCGGGTCCATCCAGGAAACGAAGTTTCACGTAATCGAGGGCAATGTGAGATATAACTCCCTGTTCGAGAGGCCATGGATCCACAACATGAGAGCAGTGCCCTCGACCCTTCACCAGGTTCTAAAATTCCCAACATCGGAGGGAATCAAAACGGTCTATGGGGAGCAACCAGCCGCAAAAGAAATGTTTGTCGTCGATGAAGTGATTCCGATATCCTCACTATCATCGACAAAAGGATCAGATTCGAAGGAGGAACATGACACCAAATAGCAATCATAAACGTCAGCCTCGACCCAACTAGAGAATCAGAAGACTGACGAAGACGATGACCATAGGGTCCCTCGATCCTTTGTGGTCCCCGATAATTCCGACGCTACCCAGTCAACGGTCAAAGAACTGGAGCAAATCACGCTAATCGAACATTTGCTCGAGTGAAAGGTATACCTGGGCATGGGGTTAGATCCCGAGCTCAGGAAAAAGCTTATTCAATTTCTTATAGCTAACATGAACTGTTTCTCTTGGTCCCATCTTAACATAACAGGGATCCCACCAGAAATGGCCACTCATAGACTAAGCTTGGATCCAAAATTCCATCTGGTAAAGCAAAAAAGAAGGCCCCAGTCCGAGGTCAAACATGCCTTCATCAAGGACGAGGTAACCAAACTTCTTAAAAAAGGATCCATTCGAGAAGTAAAATACCCCGAATGGCTAGCAAATGTGGTGGTAGTCCCTAAGAAAGGAAACAAACTTAGAATGTGTATAGATTATAAAGACTTGAACAAAGCATGCCCTAAGGATTTCTTTCCTTTTCCTAGCATCGATTGTATGATCGATGCCACGGCCAGCCACGAGACTCTCAGTTTTCTCGATGCCTACTCTAGTACAACTAGATACAGATGAACTCGAAGGATCTGGAAAATACCTCATTTATCACTAAGTACGGTACCTACTGTTATAACGTAATGCCTTTCGGTCTAAAAAATACTGGTGCAACTTATCAACGCCTAGTAAATCGAATGTTCGAAAAACAAATAGGAAAGTCAATGGAAGTTTATATTGATGACATGTTAGTTAAGTCCTTGCAAGCAGAGGACCATTTAAAACATTTGCAGGAAATGTTCAACGTACTAAAGAAGTACAATATGAACCTCAACCCCGAAAAATGTGCATTCGGGGTTGGCTCAGACAAGTTTCTTGGTTTCATGGTGTCCAACTGAGGAATCGAGATCAACCCTGATAAAATCAAAGCTATCAAGGACATCACAATAGTAGATAATATGAAGGCCGTGCAAAGGTTAACGAGGAGGATAGTCGCCCTGGGATGATTCATTTCGAGATACTCAGATAGGAGCCACCGATTTTTCTCACTGCTTAAGAAGAAAAGCAACTTTGCATGGACTCCGGAATGCCAGCAGGCTTTGGAAGAACTAAAGCGGTATTTATTGAGCCCGCCTCTGTTTCATACCCCGAAAGTGGACGAACAGCTTTACCTGTACTTAGCTGTCTCGGATATAGCGGTTAGTAGAGTCCTGGTTTGAGAAGAACGAGGTACACAATTCCCTGTTTATTATGTCAGTCGGATCTTAGGCGAGGCCGAAACTAGATATCCTCACTAAGAAAAATTAGCGCTCACTTTAATAAGTGCCTCTAGGAAACTAAAACCATATTTCCAATGTCATCCGATACATGTTGTAACAACTTATCC